AAAATATGTCTAACCAAATACAAGAAGAAATTGGATCGGAGTTGATTTTTATTAATTAGAAACAAATTATTAATTAAGAATAAATTAGCAACTAATAATGGACTTTGATGTTTTTGATATTCTTGTTTTTGTATTTTTAATGATTATGAGGGTACCTTAATCTCTAAGTTTTGATTTTCAATTGGCATTCTTGCTTTTTATTTTTAAAAAATAATCTCTTTTACGATATCATATAACATAACTCATTATGTGCCATATAATCTAATTTTTTACACAGGTTCCACCAAAGAGAAGGATTAGAGAGCTTGAGATGACGAAGGGGAGAGTGAGAGTGGAGAAGAGAAAAAGTTGAGAGAAAGTGAAATTGATGGGAAATTAGGGTTTGAGTATTTTATTTATTTTTACTTTTAAGATTAGAAAATTAAAAATTAAAAATTGATTTTTAAGTAATCTAATAAAAAATAAATAAAAAAAGTTCAGGTCATTTCAGGTGACTTGACCTGTCCGTGACTCAACCCATTTGGATTCGAATAATTTTAATTTGGATTATTTCAAATTTCGGATTAATACATAGAACCTATGAACCTACTTATAAAAGATGGATTGGATGGGATTTTCGGATTGGGTCTAATTTTGCCAGATTTATCTCTAAATATGGAAAAACAAGTATTGGGAGAACTTCTTTTAGAGGTTTCATGCAATTAGATTTTGGATTAATTAGGAAACAATATAGTTACCAGACATTAACAAGTTAATACAAAAAAAAAAAAAGTTTATTGAATCACTCACTTTTTATTCGTGGTAGTACTCTGTTTTGTACAAAACTACAAATATATGGAGGAGGTTGTTTTTTTTTTTTTTGAAAAGATTAGAGCTGATTCCTTCATGATTTTATTTTACAATAGTCTTCATTATGTGTGAAAAAAAAAAACGTAATTGTGATAAAAGATTGGGATTTATGGGTGAAGCATTTTCCCCTTAAAAAAGTAATTATCAAATTTTATAACCTGATCTAGTACATACTTAAAGCATCAAATTCTAAAATCAAATCTATGGAGATATGTATATATATATATATATTTATGAGAAATAGAGAAATATATTAAGTAATAATAAATTATAACAAAATCTTCATTTCATGGCATATAACCAAAATTAAAATAACCTAACTACAAAATCAAAAGCATAATCTACAGCACTAATAATAGACTTAAATTATACCCATTACTGAATAGACAATTAAGCAAATAAAGCCATCTGCAATTACCGATTGAATTTATAATTACTATATGAGCTAAATAGGGTTATTAATGTTAAAAGGGGAGTTACTATGAGCATTAAGAATTACTGGACATTTTCACCTATTTAACCACCTTCTTGGGGAGAGCAAGGGATTCCGGCAACAAATAGTCTTCAATCCACAAGTTGCCGCCATACTTGTTCTTAAAGAAGAAGAACCAAGAGGGGTATAGGCCTTTTCCTGACAAGCACAAGGTCCCCCAGTCGCCTCTATATACTCCCAATCATGTTCCTATTTTTGCCGATCCTTTTCAAACCCATGTTATTGAAACTCATTAAGGGAATTAGAACCCCTTTTCCGGCTTAAAAATCGGGCTTCCCATGCAGACCATAGCTGACCTTACCAACAGCATCATTTTCCTTAGGCAATTAGCTACCTTATCGAGAACTGGTGTGAACTAGATTTACCGAATTCGACCCCCACCAAGATCCCATCCGAGGAGATGCATCAAAGCAAGATTCTTGCCGTTAAATAGGAGAAACCCACTTCACCAGCAAGATCAATTCTAATTGCAACCTTCAAAAATCAATATATGTAAACTCTAGAAAACCCAAAAAGCCACTGCCTAGTGGTCCCTTGGGTTGAAGTTTCCAAAACAAGACAACGACAAGAGGAAGGAAGAGATCAAGGGGAGGAAAAGAAGGGCAAGAAGAAAGGAGGGATGAAGAAACTCTTATGTCGGAGAAAAATCTTAGGGAGGAAAATCTGTTGCCACTACTTTCAACCTTAGAAGTAGGGCACAAAAGAAACCCTTATTGCATCTATGGAGATATGTTTTGAAGACCTCAACATTGATATCAATATTAAATATTACATTAATAATTACAAAAATATTATATTTATAATTTTATGTAAAATTATAAATTTAAAATCATATATTACATTGCCATTAAATATCTTGACCCCATTAAACATAAATTTTTTTTGAGCATATTTTTATTAAAAAAAGCATTGTGTATTTTGAATTATAAAATTTAAACTATTAGATAAGGGTCGAAACCCTTGATATTAAGTTTATCTCTTATGTAATAATTTTTATTTTATAATTTAATACAATTCATATTATAAAACAAAAAATTCTTCTTTATTGGCCAAAAAAGGGGGTAAGCATATCTTTTCATAATAGAACTAATTGAAATATAGCTATAATTAATTTAACAGTGATTGTCAAAAATTAAAATATCTTGAAAAATTAACATGTTAGTAATGATAATAAAAGACTTAAATATTTTTAATAAATTACTATATGAAAAAGATTCATTAAAAATATTTAAATAATTTCATAAACAATTTTGTCATTTCATTTTAAATACAGAAACATTTCAATTTTTACTTTTCTTAATGTAATAATATCTGCCTATCTTCTTCCAAATGTTTACAGTATTTCAAAAAATAGTATCAAAAAATATTTCAACATTTTTTACTATGATGGAGTTGCTTGGCTAAAAAAAAATTATAAAATAAAAATACTGATGGTAATATCTATGTATTTTCATTTTTTTAAAGGAGAAAGGGCGACATATAATTTTTTTGGATGGAGAGAAAAAGGCAGTATTGGGAATGAATGAAGAACTACCACAAAAATACTACCTACCTATTTTCTCAAAGAATTTTTCTAGCCTACAGCCATAAGTTAAGAACTTTAAAAAAATAAAAAATAATTTTTATTTTATTAATTATTTAAAAAGTGATATTATTAATATTTATTTTTATAATTTTTAAATTTAATAAAAAAAATACTTTAATACTTTTACTTTTCTCAAATTCTCTGAAATTGCTCCCTTTATTACTCATCTCATCTCTCCCCGTCGCCGTAGTTGATTATCCTTTCAAGAAGATCGCCAATAGGCCAATATCCATCAAGAAAATTATACCTTTGTTTCTGTTTGAAGTTTGGTTATCACAATCAGAGGAGAAATGCTAGCACTTTTTGACAAATCGGTTGCCAAGAGCCCGGACGCTCTTAATGCTCCGAACCACTCTGAGGCAGTTTCTGCACACAAAGATGGGTTCTTGGCTAACCACTTTGCCTCGCTGCACCCTGGCTCTGTCATTGTCAATCTTGGCCCATCTGGGGTTTTGGCCTACTCTCTTGACAAGCAGAACCCTCTTCTACCTAGGTAATAATTTCACATTCTCCTTTTTCTTTTCTTTTTTATTTTTATTTTTTGGGGTTCCTTTTTCGTGTGACTTCTATTTATATAACATTTATTACTTGTGGGGTGTTTAATCCTATGTTTGTCCTGTGATGGTGAGGGTTTGATGCTGATTTTTTTTTTTTAACCTTGATACTGATGGTTTTGTTGTTTTCTTTGTTTAAGTGTTTTCTCAGTTTTGCATATTTAGATGACCTGTATTTGTGATAATCATTTGTATTGCTAACAAATTTGATATAAAGATGATATCTTTATGTGAAATTTGATTTGGACAGATCAATGCTCTTTTCAATTAGTTTGATTTTCTCCTATTACTAACAAGCCTAACAACTAGTTTGTTCTATAAGGTGCAATCCCTGGGTTCCCCTTTAGTTTCAAAGGAAAAGGAAAATTTTTAGGAAAAGAATAGTAGAAATTAAATTGATTGTGTTGCTAGATTCTATAGGGCGCACGCTTGCTCGTGGTTGACTGCATCTTATCATGGGTGATGAGACAGACATACAAATCCAAAACTGTAGTCATCTTAGGGTTTTGAGAAAGACAAAAGAAAGATTCACCTTGGATTATAGCATGTGCTTTTTTTGGTATCTTGCATAAATTCAGTTTTTTGTATCATACAAGGAACATGATCATTTCATTGCACTCTTCCATGCTTTCATTCAACCAATCATATTTCGAGCCTTGGCAATAATTTATTAGCCAATACATCGGCAAACTGGTCTAATAGATCTCATAATGACTTTGTGACAATTGTTAAATTTTTTCAAAGGGTCAACTTATGGCTATAGCTATAAGAAAGAATGCAGCGAGGATGCCCGAGATGGGTCTGGTGCTTTGTATTTAAATGTGCAGCAGCTATACAATTATGGTAACATACAATTGATGCAATCCCTATGATTAAGGAGTATATAAATATACAAGATTGTAACTGATTGAATCAAATCCCTTGATCAGCACCTGTATCTTATCAATAGTAATCTGGTTTGCTTGTTTCCTTTTTGTGCTTTCATGGTTCAATAGATATATTTGATCATGATAACTGGTCTCCAAGGCATCCACATATTGAGCAATTGATATTTCTTATTTGTGTTGCCAGATTGTTTGCAGTTGTGGATGACATTTTCTGCTTGTTTCAAGGCCATATTGAGAATGTTGCTGTTCTTAAGCAACTATATGGCTTAAGCAAAACTGCAAATGAGGTGATCATTATTATTGAAGCCTACAGAACCTTAAGAGACAGAGGTCCTTATCCTGTCGACCAGGTCATAAGAGATATCCAGGGAAAATTTGCATTTATTCTCTATGACAGTACTTCACAAGTCACATTTATATCTGCTGTGAGTAACCTCTTTTTTTTTTGAACAAATGTATTGTCTTGTAATGCGTCCCATCTGCAAATTAGTTATTTAGAATCTCTGCCCCCTTAAGATGTTGTTTGGTTTCTATGCAGGATGCTGATGGAAATGTTCCTTTCTTCTGGGGAACTGATGCTGAAGGACATCTTGTTCTTTCAGATGATGCCAATATTGTGAAGAAGGGCTGTGGAAAGTCCTTTGCTCCATTCCCAAAAGGTACAACTATATGCTTTTGTTGCTCAGCAAAATAACTATATGGAAATATGTTAACCAACTGTCAATGAAATAATTATTTCTTATATATATTATTTGGATCCCCTTTCCCTGTTATTCTAATTATGTAAAAGACTTGGATTAACATTAAAATGTGTATCAAGTCAGTTGCAGAATGACATGGTGAAAATTAAGTGAAGGTTGGAAATGTAGGCACATTCAGGTTGTAGTGGTTTTGCACAAAATATGCCTGAGCAAAGTCAGTTTTTGATAGTGGTTTTTTTTTTTGGCTAACATTCAGTTTTAATTAGTTAAATAAGCACAATATTTCTCTACTCCATTTATGATGCTCGTTAGTTGATTTGCACTACTCTGATTCTGCACATTTTTGTGTCTTTAATGATGGGTTTGAATTAGTATGTATATTTCCATGTATACATTTATATTTCTATTGTCAATCTGCCAATATTTACTCTCTCTTTTCTTAGGGTGCTTCTTCACATCCTCTGGAGGTTTGAGGAGCTACGAGCATCCACTCAATGAGTTGAAGCCAGTGCCAAGGGTGGACAGCTCAGGTCAAGTTTGTGGTGCCGATTTCAGTGTGGATGTTGATGCAAAGAAGGAATCTTCTGGAATGAAAAAGGTTGGGAGTGCTGCAAACTGGTCCAGTAACTATTGAGAACACAAATGGAATGGTGCTTGTTATTAGTGAGCCCTCTTGTTTTTACCCACCTTTTCCCTGTTTTCAATCCCTAACTCCTATAACCTTGACTTTGCTGCCCTATGGGTATTAAACTTCATTTATTGTCAGTGTTTTTCAAAATCTTACAACATTTGATGCGGCTGTATATCTTGCTTGCCACTAAAACTTAGCCAGGCATGGCATATAACATGGAATAATATCGTCTCTCATAAAGGTTGATGATCATAGTTCTATAGTTTTTGTTTCCTGATGTTTTGCGCTTTTGTCTGTGGATGCAAAGGATGAAACCATTATGAAGTTTATATAGCTGCAATATTATAAAAGTTGCTACTTACAGAAGAAGTTGGATCCTTTCTCTGCCCCAGAATTGTAAACCAAGGGACTTTCAAGTCTTTTACAACTTAATGCTAAACTATTGGTAGATGGTAGTAAAATTTAAGTTGATAACTTTGCCCCATGTTTTGCTAAGGTATGGCCTTTTGCTTAGTCCTTTGCGTCTGCAATGCCCCCTGGTGTTATCTGAAATACGTGCTTCTGTCAAGAAAAACTTAACAAAAGAGTAGTGATATTTAAGGTGTTTGAAATTCATTTCGGTAATCATTTAAGGTGTCGATTTGAAAGGAAAATTTATTGCTTCTGTTAGGTTAGAACTTAGCAATTTGCAATGAGAATATAACTTAGGTAGGATATAGCTTCCGCTTCAGGTAGATTGGGGGCATCAAACACCTTGCAGACTCGCTGTTCCCCTTTGCCTTTCCTGAACATCAACCTTATTGTGGCAGCATGGGCAAGCACGTGCCCTCCTGCTGGTTTCTTCGGATCTGATATGAACACTCCTCCACCAGGGTCAGCAATAACTGCAGCAAAGGAGTATTATAAGTTTAGCAATGCCCTTATTTTGGTACAATTGGCGGAAATAGAATTGCAGTTCTTTTGGTATGCTTTGTATCTTTGTCTCTTGGTAACTTCTAGCAATGAATAAAGAGGTTAAACCAGATTTGCTGGAAGTTACCTTGGTTAGTCATGTAGACTGCAACGTTGAATTCTTCAGCTATCTTTGTCAGCCGGGAGAGCATCTGTGCCAATTTTTGCTGCAAGAGGAGACCGGATCATGTCATGGAGGAGAATTGACACAGAAAAGATAAGAATTTCAAAGGGATATAGCCTCTTCTGAATTTACCTGACGTTCAGCAAGCTCTCCTCTTCCAGTGAAATCAACTCGAAAGAGAGCAATGACAGAATCAACAATCTGAAGATATTTAAGCTTACACTAACATCAGCCAACTAGCTTGCATGATTTATTGGAATCATGAAATAATTCTATCAACAAATACTAACCAGAAGTCTGAATGGTTCTTCAGCCATTTTTGCAGCCAAACCAAGAAGCAGGTTGTACTGATGCTCATATGTATATGCACGAGCATAAATGATCTAAACTTTCAGAGAAAAGGAGTTATAAAATTTGCTTCATCATATAATTGGAAATATTTGGGGCATGTTGCTTACATTGTCAAGGACGGCTCCTGGGTCCATGCCAAATCTTTCAGCGATCGGTATAATTCGATCAGGTCGGCTGCAAGGACATTTAGTCGAACAAAACTAACTGAAACTGGTTGGATAATATTCAAGATTATTTTCCTCACTTCTGATGACCTTCTACTTTCTAAGAGAAATAAAGCTAAGAAATTCCATTTAAGAACAAAGGATACAAAGTTCCTTCAGTATCAATGTAAGCAACCTTTCCATTCCCACCCTTCATGTTTGTGGGGAGCTGCCAAAGAAACGCCAAATTAGCATCTGATCAGCAAAGTTCAATAAAGATTTAGGGTAAAGTTGACCTTCGAATGAACCCAAGTCAGCCAATGACAACATATAGTTTTGCAGTAGCTACGTTACATAGACCATAAATTGAAGCCAATTCATTTGGTTGGAAACAGAACCTAGTCACTGACTCGCTGATCCGTGGAGGACAAGTAAGTCCTTCTAAGTCCTATAAGGTATTCAAATAAATCAGATGTGTTACGTGGCTCGGGAAGTATGCCTGTCAAACTCAATGTATTGTGTTCTTGCTCTAACAATGACCACAAAAATCCTAGCTCAGGTCATTGGGGTCATTTTGAGGTTTAACCCGTATCTTTTCAGAATACTTCGGGATCAATAGAAGTACAGAGTAACATTCATAAATCACGAGGAAGGTGAGAAAAAACCTGAGTAGAGACACAGAGAGTATGCGCCAGCTGTGTTTTCCCCGACCTAAATTAACAGAGTTAGCAACTAGCAGACAAGCTCAGTAATCCAGTATTCACATGTACTTGTAGGAAACGTTAAATGTGCGGTTTTTCTCACCGGAATTCTCCAAAAGCCTCTGTAATAGCTGAAGTTTCTATTCCACCTTTTTAAGATTACACACCAAAAGAACAGAAATCAGTTATACAGTAAAAAAACTGAATTAATACTAAAATAGACACTGATGGATTTTCTCAGACTGAAAGTTACCCCCCAAGAGTTCATCAAGGGCCAGGCTACCAGTTGTTATCCGAATCACTGACTTCCTCTGCAAACCAAACAGCAGAAACCACACTAAATTTCTCATAACATATGAAGAAGTTACCAATTCGGAAATAGCAAAGAAGTTTCACGGAGCTTTGGTGTGGAAAATGAAGCTTAGCAAGACATCGGATCTGTTCTACTCTCTTAAAATGAAGAATGAAGGAAATTCAATCTTACTTTTAGCAAAGCATCACTTCCAGTGATATAACCGAAATTCTGAGGCGGCAAATACATTAAGAAACAATACATTAGATCAGCACGAAGCAAAAATAATCAAATGAAAATATTAAGGGATCATCTGATATGAGAGCCTAACCACTATCTTTTCAGCAGCTTCACAGATTTTATCAACTTTGGCCTCTGATAAGCCTTTAATTCCAGTCAAGTGCTGCGAGAATGAAGATAAATAAAATTGTAAATACCAAGCGTACCGCAATCTTCAGAAATTCGATCATTCAAATTGAAAACAGAATTACCTTCTTTGTGTGCATCATCAAGCCATTGCAGGTATAGATCCCTGCATCTTGAAGCTTCCTCACATCTCCAGCATTGATTCCTGAAGAGATCACTGCACAGAAATGAATGAATTTCTTTATAAAATTCAAGAAAAATAGGCTTAAGTATGATTTTAAGTGCAAATTTAGAAAATACGTTAAATCTATGATCGATGTCAATGAAACAGAACCAATCGAACTCAAATCTGAAGTCCAACTATCTCAGTGTAATCATAGCAGAAACTGACGCCAATTCGAACTGCGCATCATTACGAAAACAAGGAGAAACCAAATCCAAACAGATATGACCAAAAATCCTTCCAAAATTCGCGAATCAATTTCCACATCAGTAGATGAAATTCGTAAACAGAGCAGAAAATGAGAATCGGAAACCGTAAACAGAAACAAAGCGAAAATCCAAGTATCGCATAGTTTACATTTGTCGATCGCTTCGAACAAGTCCTCTTCGTCATTGATGTCTTCCCGCTCGACGAGCTGCAGCTGGCTCGCTTCTTCGGCTCTGAGATTCATCAAACACGAAAGAAGGAAAACGATAAGGTGCGATTAATGCGAAAAATGAAAAGAGAGAAGAGTGCAGAGATCTGTAACTTACTTGAGAGTAACAATCATCTTTTTTGAAGCAGGGGATGAGTTTGTTTTCTGAGAATTTGGTAGAGAAAGGGAAGGAGAAGATCAGAGGGGGGGGGGATCTCATCTTTTTGGTCTGATATGAATAATTTAAGAGATATTTGAAATTAGTATAAAAAAGTAAGGATTAGTGTTATAATAATTACCAGTTAGTAACTTGTTTGATATGCACTTCTGTGCAGGTGACATCTCCTGCTGGTAATGAAGTTAAAACTTTGAAGGGGACCTCTGGAGACAAGTTTGAATTTAAGGCCCCAAGAAGTGGAATGTACAAATTCTGTTTTCATAATCCCTACTCTACAGCAGAGACTGTTTCTTTCTATATTCATGTTGGCCATATTCCAAATGAGCATGACCTCGCCAAGGATGGTTTGTCACATCTTCCCTTGAACCCTTATATCTAATACCTAATGTCTGTATATTAAGCTGAATTTCTGCTGTAAATAATACTCAGCTTTACTTGACAATTTTGAGTGCCTTTTTGTAACCTGTTTACCTAATTTATAGAATATGGCTGCAGTTTTCCTTCAAGTTTGATAGCTTTGACTTGCATATTATTACTTTGCTACAGAGCATTTGGATCCAATCAATGTCAAAATTGCACAGCTAAGAGAGGCATTGGAGTCTGTTACAGCCGAACAGAAGTTCTTGAAAGCACGTGATGCTCGACATCGGCACAGTAAGCTCCTTTCCTTTCCCCCTATTGCACTTATGTATTGATTGACGGTTGTTTCACAAAAGTTGGTATCAGATGCATACATTGTAGACAGAAATAACCCTCAGTTTTAGGGCTACTCTCCCAATCTAATTGAGGGTAATAAGATAATAATGTTCTTTTTTTTTTCTTTTTTTTTTTATCTTTCTTTTCTTTTTCTGTTTTTAGTTCAAAATTTTCTCTCTTACCACATCACTCTGCTTTGACCTTCATTATAGTTGCACCTACCATCATAATACCCACAATTGTCCACATCTACTACTTTCAAGCCCAGTAGCCCTCATGATACCGGAGTTTATAATGATCATGTTGCTCAAATTTCTGAAAAAGAGAGTTTGTATTGATCACATGGTACCTTTAAATTTGAAGTCTTTAGGAAGGGAAAAGGACGAGATACAATCCAACACCTATATTTACATCCCCAATTCATGCATCTATATTTCCATGCTTGCACCATTGAAGATGTCATTCGCACACCAGTGCTAGTATGGGCACAAATATACAGCATCATTTAAGATTTGAATTGACATGGAATGTGAGGTCTTAGGAACCAACTTAAGGTAAAATTATGCATGTATAATTGCAATATTCCTTTGTCCAGGAAATCTCCAAAGAAAATGGATTGTGTTTTTTTTTTCCCCTATTGAATTGATCTCAGTAACTATTTGTCCTTTATTTGCTATTGGATTGATCATATCCACTAGCTTGCTAGTTTCATGCTGTATTGGAAATGGGGAATGGAGCATGACAGATAATTCTAGATGTATATTTATGTGATCAAGCTTACATAAATGCAAATACTTGTCTTGACATTTAGGTTGGAAAATTCATGGAATTCTCTTTTGCCATTATCTAGATAGCTTCTTGAACATCAATAATCATGCAGGACTCAATTTTCCATCTTTTTTTGTTGGACGTTGCATATATATTTTCTTTCTTTCTTTATTCATTTTTTACTTATGGTCTCTTGAATTGCATTTCTTATAGACAATCACCTTAACTTTGCACTTCCTGACCAGCCTTAATAGACTTTTAACTGCACAATGCATTCTTGATTGAGCAATATCCATATCACATTTGTACAATAAACTTGATACTAAATCACTGTTTACTTGCATACAATCTCATTGGGGGCTTTGACTGCAGCAAACGAAAGCACCCGTAAGCGTGTTGTAGGCTACACAATTGGAGAGTACTTACTGTTGGCCCTTGCCAGTGGACTTCAAGTTATATACATCCGCCGCCTGTTCAGCAAGTCAGTTGCTTACAACCGGGTTTGAACCAACTGGTTAATTTAATCAGTCCATTAACTACGGGGCCGTAGAATGAATCCCAGAGATGAGCCAGAAAATTGTCTTGTTCTACAGCACAGCAAAATTTATACATCCTTTTTACCCAGTGTTTTATTCCAACTAGAATGCAGTTTTCGAACATAACTGTTTTGACTAATATTTGGTGATTTAAGTGACATTTCGTTATTCTTATTCTATTAGAGACCTGCACACTATTCTGTTACTGCTTGATGTATATTATTTATATAATATTTCAAGTTAAATAATATAAAGTTAGAGGATTAGGACAACAAAAAAAATACTATAGTAATGTTTTAACATTTAAAAATATGTTGTTAAGTTCGGATGCATGGTTTAAATAATTAGACAGAAGCAAGTTCTTTTAATGTTAAGATATATCTTTTCATTTATTTATTTATTTTAATTTAATATAGTTTTGTCAACGATTTAAATAATTTGATAGTTATCTCTTTTCGTTGGAAGTGAAGGGTTTTAAGTTCAAGTCGTATAGTATGCGGGTGAGATGTGATAAATGATGGGAGATGATTGTTTTTTATTATGTAAGATAAAAAATAATGATAATATGAAGAAGTTAATGCAGTTTTAAAGATAAAATATGTTACTCTTTAACATCTAGTTGATTTAAATACTTCGGTATGTGGTACAGGGTCCAATGGGTCTCATTCTCATAGGCCATTGGAAGGAAGAGAAACTGGATTAGTCTTGAAAGTTGCTAGAGAAGCAGTGAAGAAGTCCTGAACAAATACAAGAGAACTGGTTCCTTTAGGCTTTAAATTTTTTAAATGGATAAGTTAAAATATTTTAAAATTAATTTAACAAATATTTTTCCATTAAAAATAGTGTGAAGTAATTTAAATTGAATTAAATTATGTAACATTTATTATTAAATGGAGCAAGTCACTAAATATTAGAAGTTGTTACTTAATTAATACAATTTAAATTACAAAATAAAAAATTTGCCAAAAATAAATAAATAAATAAAAGATACCGCCACTTGTTGCCGCGCATGTCTCCAGTCCTAAACCAAAACGGGGTTTTTTTGGATTTATTCCCTAAAATACCCATTTTTTTCGTATTATTTATACTTTCTATGAAGTGTAATCTATTTGTGAGATTCGAAACTGTTTATTAAATACCAA